AATTCAAGTTGGTATTACTTTACAAAACAAACATGGTGAATATCCAGAAGGTGTTAGAACATGGCAGTTTAATTTTAAATTTGATCCTGACAAAGATGAATGTTCTGCTGATTCAATTCAATTATTACAAAAAGCAGGTATTAATTTTCCATATTTTAAAAATGCTGGAATTACTGAAGAAGATTTTGGAGAAGCAATTATGACTTCAGGATTAGTTTTAAATGAAAATACTCATTGGTTAACATTTCATAGTGGATATGACTTTGGTTATTTATTACGATTATTAACTTGTGAGAAATTACCTTCTTCTATTGATGATTTCTTTACAAAACTATGTATTTTCTTTCCTAATATTATTGACCTCAAACATGTTACTAATCAAATTAGTCAAACTTATCATGGTAGTTTACAAGCAATTGCTTCTAGTTTAGGAGTTCAAAGAATTGGTACAATGCATCAAGCTGGTTCAGATAGTTTGATTACTGGTGGTCTTTATTTTAAATTAAAAGAAAAACATCCTGATTTTGACGATGATAGATTTAATGGAATTTTATTTGGATTAAATGATGAATGAGTTTATTTGTGTTATATATTCCATTATTTTTTTAGTTTATCAAAAATAGTTTTTATATGAATTTATTCAAAGTGAAAAGTGAAATGATTAGATTGAATGAGAAAAAAGAAATGATGATGATTTTTTTTTTCAAATATGAACTATAAAAAGAACTATAAATTAATAAAAATAAATAATGGATACTCTTGAGCAATACGTTTTAGAACCAACTGAAGAATTTATTTTAGATAGTAAACGATTCATTACCAAATGTAATAAACCAAATCAAAAAGAATATAACAAAACAATTTATGTTGTTTTAATTGGATTTGCTATTCTTGGATTTTGTGGATATTTTATTAAATTAGTCCATATACCAATTACTGGTCTTTTAATGTCATCAGAATAATACAATAATCTTTAGTATAATTGAAGAAAACTAGTCATTTAAAATTTGTTTATTCTTTTTTTTTTGTTTTTAATAATTTTTGAATTAATCGAACATAATTTTGAAATAATTAAAAAAAGAAATAACATGTTAATTAAAAATAATAGTTGGTACATAACTATTATTTCTTTTCATCATCTTCAATTTGGTTTGGTTTCATTTCATACTCTGGAGTTCCTTGACGTTTTTTTGGAACATAAGGTTTTGTTATAAGAATGTATTGACAACCAATAAAAGGATTTAATACCTAAAAAGTTAATTTATAAAATGTATTTCTGTTTTTTAAATAAATAAAAAAAAACAAACAAAGCTAAGAACTAATACGGATTCTAATATCATTGGAATAATAAATGGAGTATATTTACAATTAATAGAAATATTTTTATTTTTAAAAGACGAAGAAATTTTATTTGTACAATAATTATACCCTCGTTTTACTTCATATATTTGCCAACATATTATCGCAATAAACAAAATTGCTGTTATACCTCCAAATATGAATAACTACTTATTAATTCTTTTTTTGTTATTAAAGTGTCATTACTTTAAATAATGAAACAAACCCCAAATGAATATGATGCCCTTCTAAAAACTAGACCTGCAACAACTATTGAAATAACTACTCCTAAAGAGAGAAATAATGTTAAATATACTAAGTATGAAATTGCTGGTTCAAATCCACATTGAAATGTATGGTCATTATTATTTACTAAATTTAATTAATTTTCATTTCCTTAGTTGTAAATAAATAATAACAAACCAATTGTAAATTGAAAAGTTTTAAATCCATCCATATTACTATAACCACATACCTTTGTTTTTTCTGACTCCCCTAAAATCTATTTTATAAGTAAACAAAAATATAAACCCCTTAATTACTATACAAACATTGATTTTTAATACATCATCATATTGGTCATTTATCATTACAAATGTATATAATACAATACATGCTATTATTACTAATGCAATAAAGATATAAAATCCAATTGTAAATAATGTACAACACTTTTGTTTTATATTCATTATTATCAAAACAATTAAATAATAATACAAGTTCCATTCTTTAATGATTAAAGCTAGTTATCCATCAATAAAATACTAAAAAAAGAGAATTTTGAAAGAAGAAATTTAAAAAAAAGGTTTTTTCCTTTTTTATTGTTTTAATAATTTGTCAGATCGAAGGTGGCACGTCTGAAATACC